CCAAGATCGCTGTTTTGCGAGTTCAGATTTTCGTGAGTTTTGTTCTTCTCAAAAAATTAATTTGTATTTAATTTCCACCGGTGCGAGTAGGGCCAACGGTTAGGTCGAGCGAGTAATGAGCACACTCAAAAGTATGCTGACTGCTGTGGAAACCGGTCAGAGATCGTGGCAGGATGCGTTGGCCGAGGTGCAATTGGCAATGAATTGTACGGCGAATAGAGTAACTAAGTTTAGCCCATTAGAATTGTTAATTGGTAAGGAAGCTAGACCTTTTGGCTTACTACCAATAAATGAAGAAGTTGATGACAAAATAGATAGAGAAAATCTAAGAAAACAAGCCAAACAAAATATGGAAGACGGCTCACGATATGATTAGTGCAGGTTTGATAGTAATAAGGCGAACATTGTTAAACATAGTTTAGGCGATCAAGTTTTGATTAAGAACGAGGAGCGTCATCAAACTAAGCTTGACCCTAAATTTAAAGGGCCGTTTGAGATTGTCAAAATACTAAATGGAGATAGATATCTGTTAAAGTCCTTAACAAGTAAGAGAACTTACAAATATTCCCATGAATTCTTAAGAGCTTTGCCGAATAATCAGCTAATACGCGAAGATAGAGACGGCATGATGGAAAATGCGTCTGACAATCAAGAAAGAGATTCATAAAAAAAAAAAAAACAAGAAAGGAAAGCTAACTTCGGGCGGGAATATATGGGAATAGGGAATATATAATCAAATTTTTTACAATACAAAATCTAAAAAAAGTCCCAAACTTCTATCTTCAAAAGTACGAAAGTTGATATTTCTACCAAGTACCATTTCCGATCGTTCAGTTATATGGCAGCTATAGGATATAGTCTGCCGATCCTTACGAAATTTGGCATGTCGTATTATTTTGTCGTATAAAAATAGCTCTCACCTAAAATTTGAACTCTCTAACTTTAAAAACACCGAAGTTATACCATTTCCGATCAATCAGTTATATGGCAGCTATAGGATATAGTCGGCCGATCCGGGCCGTTCCAACTTATATACTGCGTGCAAAAGAAAGAAGGGTGTGTGCAAAGTTTCAAGACGATAGCTTTAAAACTGAGAGACTAGTTTGCGTAGAAACAGACAGACGGACAGACAGACAGACGGACAGACGGACATGCGCTTATCAACTCAGGAGGTGATCCTGATCAAGAATATATATACTTTATAGGGTCGGAGATGTCTCCTTCACTGCGTTGCACACTTTTGACCAAAATTATAATACCCTCTGCAAGGGTATAAAAAGGGGTGGCATACAAAAATGTATAGAGATATTTCGAAAAAGAGTTTAATTTAATTTAATGTTATTGTAATGTGTAAAAGGAACTGCACAAATGATAAAAAGTGTTAAAGGAACTACACTAATGTTATATTGTAAGACGTGTTAAAGGAATTACACAATTAGTTAAAATGTGCCAAAGGAAAGGCACAAATGTTTTATTTTAAAAAAGAGAATAATGTTATTAAAGAATAACTAAATGAATTAATAAGATTATGTTTAATTAAAGAAATGTAATGAATACAGAAGATTTGATATTCATATAAGTGATTTTTATTTTGAAAGCTTTTGTCCAATACATGAAATAAAAAAAATATCTGTTTAAAAACAAAGAAAAGTTTAAAGTGAAATTGAGTCTTGTGGTTTTGAAAACTAGACGTGTGAGTTGTCAGGAAGGCCGTGTCGTAGAATGGCTAGTTTGCCCATTGTACTTGTGCGCCGTACAGCTTTGGTGTGGCGACACATTGTCTAGTTTAAATAGTTTAAATATGCACAGAAGCTGAGAAAATGGGACACACTCTGCTGCTGAGGATGGTCTGATCGTAGAGCGCAGACTGAATTGAGAGAAACAGAGAGAGCAATAGAATTTAAAAGGATGATGAAATTAGACAAAACTCTGTGTTACGCAGTTCAGTTGGGAAGCGTCTCTAGTAACGAACAGAACTTGCTGTGCAATTGTGCTTGAAAATGGAAACTATAGACGGATCTCCGACACATACATATCTGGTCCTCTAGAAGTGCCAAATCCTATAGCTCTATCTCTTATAGCAAAGATTATAAAGTACATAGAGGGGACATCAGGGCCCAAAACGGTTAACTTTTTTCGTCGAGCTTGTTGGTGAAGGGGGAACGCACATGCATACGAGTATATTTTTAGAACTCTTTACATGTATCCGTCAACAAAAATGTGAACCTATGTATGTATGTGTGACTGCTCGCACGACAGAGTAAAAATGTTTTGGCTTCCAAATTTCAATTTCTCGTTTCTTTCAATTTCTTGTTAGTAGTTGGTAGAACAAATAGTATTTTTAATCGCCTCAGATCGAGACAGGATGGTAGCGTAATGTATAGAGTAGTTACTCTATGTGTAATTTTTCTGTGTTCAAATCCTAGTAAGGACTTTGAACTTTTTCTTTCTTTTTTATAATTATTTATTTTTTCTTTTTTTTTTTTTAATTGTAATATTATTTTTTAATTTTACAATTGTAAAAATGTTTTAATCTTCATTATGTCCCGCTAATAACATGCTAATACAATTTCAAGGGAGTCCTTCCGGCATTTTGTCATCCGACACGCCCGTCAGTTATTTTTACAACAATTGAAATAGAATGCAATTAAAAATAATAATAATAAGGTAAAAATTAAAAGTAAAAAAAAAAAAAATAATAAAAAAATTAATAAAAACAAAGGAAAGCTAACTTCGGGTGGAGCCGAAGTTGATATACCCTTGCAGTTAAACCGGATATATATCGCAAACATCGGATATAGTTAGCCGATCCTTATAAGAATATGATAACATAACCCAATTAATTATAATACAAAATCTAAAAAAAGTCCCAAACTTCTATCTTCAAAAATACGAAAGTTGGTATATCTACCAAAACCCATTTCCGATCGTTCAGTTACATGGCAGCTATAAGATATCGTCAACCGATCCTTATGAAATTTGGTAGGTCGGATTATTTGACCAAAAATAGAATCTCTACTAAGTTTTCTATCTTCAAAAACACGAAAGTTGGGTCATTTCCGATCGTTCAGTTATATGGCATCTATAGGGTATAGTCGGCCGATCATGGTTAATGGTTTGCCAAAAATAGCTCTCGTGTCAAATTTGAAATCGTGTCAAATCTAACTCTAAAAACATTAAAGTTATACCATTTTCGATCAATCAGTTATATGGCAGCTATAGGATATAGTCGGCCGATCCCGGCCGTTCCGACTTATATACTGCGTGCAAAGAAAAGAAGGGTGTGTGCAAAGTTTCAAGTCGATAGCTTAAAAATTGAGAGACTAGTTCCCGTAGAAACAGACAGACAGACAGACATGCTGATATCAACTCAGGAGGTGATCCTGATCAAGAATATATATACTTTATAGGGTCGGAGATGTCTCCTTCACTGCGTTGCACACTTTTGACCAAAATTATAATTCCCTCTGAAAGGGTATAATAAATTAAATATAAAAAGAATCATAAAACTAAAACTTTATCAAAATTGAAACAACCGCCCGCTAATGAAATCGAACCCCGGACCCCATTAATAAGGACCGCGCACTATCCATCTAGGCTACCCTCGAAGTTGATTTTATAAAACTTAAAATTGGTGTTAAAGGAGGCGCTAGAATCCATACCAAAAACAGAGCTGACGAGTAAGGATAGTAAAAGATATTTCTGATCTCTTTACTCTCACATTGGTTCGATTACAACGTTTCAAACTTTCATCGTTCCAAAGATGTTGCGATCTAAAAATAGAATTCTCTCTTTCCCTCTCTCATCTGCCAGCCGTTTGTCGTGGAACCCGCTCTCAAATGTTTTCATTATTACAGCGGGTTCCACGACGGAAAAAATGAAAACATTTGAGAGCGGGTTCCACTACGAACTGAGACGATGTTAAGGTGATTTTACAATTTTGTGTTTTTTTTTTGGATTACAAATTTAAGAAAACACATTAAAAGAATAAGAATATAATATAAATAGATTTAAAATTAAAAAAAAATGGATGTCCCGAGCCTGGTTTGAACTCGTTTTACTTTGCATACCAGCCAAGTACTCAACCACTCGGCTATTCATCATTCGTTGTCGCGCGAAAAATTTCTCAAACTTAACTTGTCGCGCAATGGAACCCGCTCGTTCCAGCGGGTTCCACTGCTGGAACCCGTCATAGAAAATTTTTCTTTGTATGAGATGTCCCATCTATGTACTTTATAATCTTTGCTTATAGTCTCTCCTATGCATGCGTTCATACGGACAGATAAAGAGACAGAAGTACATGGCTATATCGACTCGGCTGTTTATGCTGATCAAGAATACAAAAAGTATATGGTGATGATTCTCCATGTACACACACAAATAATTTCACACGACTACATTATACCCTTGTACTCTATGACTACCGGGTATAACAAGAGAGGAAAGCTTTGGGCGGAACCGAAGTTGATATGTCCTTGTTTTTAAGATTGAATATTTATCGCATATGGTTGTCTGATCCCTATGAAAATTTCATAATACTAACAAATTATTAGAATACAACATTTAAAAAAAGTCCCAAACTTCTAACTTTAAAAATACCAATTACCATTTTTACCAAAAACAAAATACCATTTCCGATCGTTCATTTATATGGCAGATATAGGATATAGATGGCCGATCCCAATGAAATTTGGTATGTCGTATTATTTTGCCAAAAATTGGGAATCCATAGAAAATCCAAACGGTCTAAGCCTTAAAACACCTAAGTTTTAGCATTTCCGAGCACGTTATAGAATTAATAGCATGTAATAGAACCAAGCTTAAGTACTTAGTTAAAAAAATACAATATAATTTTAAAAACTTTTAAATGGAATAGTTGTATTATTTCTCAGATTTAATAGTAATTTCCACTGGGCGTAAAGTTTATTCAAAATTGTATAAGTGTTCTCTTATATTTTGTCAAATTTTATAAACGTAGTGCGCATGTTCAGAAATGGATTGAAATTATACAATACAAAATAACACATTTTTCAGTTAATATGTAAAACTCTGATTATAAGGTGAAGAAAAAAATTAAAATCGGACTTAAGATACATTAACACCCTTCAAGGATTAAAATATTTTGTCCAAAATTATAAAAATACATGTTTTTAGGAAATATGCCTGTAAAAAGTGAAACAAAACAAATATATGTAATATTAAAATATCTGATAAAAAAAGAGCTCAAAAAAAGCTTTGTTATAGGGTTGCATATCAATCAAAGTATGTTGATTTAAAAAAATATATATTTAGCTGTGTTTTGCTTTTAAATATATTTGACAATGAATAGTTTGTGATTAGTGAAATTCATTCTCATTAATGAAAAAAAATCCTAATTAAATTTTCAATTATGTAATCATTTTTCAAGATAGACTTCTTTTGACTAACATAATAATTGACGAGAAACCTTCGGATGAAGTCGAAGTTAATACATATACTCTTGCATGTTATTTTAAAATATGCTAATTTGTGTACAAAGTGTGTGTTGGTTACGACAAACCATTCCGAGTCCATCTAGATAACTTTTAACGACATCAAAACAACATATTTGTAATACAATTTCCATTTCATAGGATTTTATCAACATTTGTATTAACTTAACAGCCAATACAGAAAGGAGGAACGTTCTTTATACCCTTGCAGGGGGTATTCTAATTTTGTCATCTCCGACCCTATAAAGTATATATATTTTGATCAGGATCACCTCCTGAGTTGATATGAGAGTGCCCGTCTGTCTGTTTGTACGTAAATTAGTTTCTCAGTTTTAAAGTTATCGACTTGAAAATTTGCACCCACCCTTCTTTCCTTTGCACGCAGTTTATAAGTCGGAACTGCCGAGATCGGCCGACTATATCCTATAGCTGCCATATAACTGATTGATCGGAAATTCTTTAACTTTGTAGCAAAATAATACGACATACTAAATTATATAACTGCAATATAACTGAAAGATCGGAAATGACTTAACTTTCGTGTTTTTGGAAATGGAAAGTTGGAACTTTGTCAAGATTCTATTTTTGGTTAGTTGATCCGATGTACCAAATTTTATAAGGATCGGCCGACGGATCGGCTATATAACGGTCCAAAATGGTATTTGGTAAAAAATACCAACTTTGGCATTTTCGAAAATAGAAGCAATGATTAATAAGTACATAGATGGGACATCAGGGCCCAAAACGGTCAACTTTTTTTGTCGAGCTTGTCGGTGAGCGGGGAACGCACATGCATACGATTCTATTTTTAGAACTCTAAACTCTTTTTTACGCATACATGTTAAAAAAAAATGTGGGGCTTTGAAAAAAATGTTTTGGCCTCTAAATTTTAATTTTAATTTCTCGTTTCTGTTTTCAATGCGCCGATGGAGTAGTTAATATAGCAAATGGTTTTTTTAATCGCTACAGATCTAGACATGGTGTTAGCGTAATGCATAGAGTAGTTACTCTACCTATGTACAATTTTTCTGAGTTAAAACAGTCCTAAGGACTTCGAACTTTTTCTTTTTCTTTTATAATTATTTTTTTTTTAATCTTTAATTGTAGTATTAAAGAAAAGAAAATTAATAAATTTGTCTGGCTAAAAAAATGTTAAGGGAGTCCGTCCGGCATTTTGTTATCCGACACGTCCGTCACTTATTTTTACAACAATTTTAATGGAATGCCATTTAAAATAATAACAATAAAGTGAATATGAAAAGTAAGAAAAAAAAAATATTTATAAAAAACTTTTTAAAAATTCAAATAACCTCCCACTAATAAAATCGAAACCAGGACCTCAAGGATAAAAAGCGCGCGCTTTCCATCTAGAAGATATTTCGGATCTCTTTGCTCTCCCACTGCACTATAGGAAATTTGACCACCTTTTCTGCCCAAAAATTAAATTTCAAGAACGAAACCAGATATTTAAGTTCTGATTTTTGCTTTTTATACCCTTGCAGAGGGTATTATAATTTTGTCCAAAAGTGTGCAACGCAGTGAAGGAGACATCTCCGACCCTATAAAGAATATATATTCTTGATCAGGATCACCTCCTGAGTTGATATGAGCATGTCCGTCTGTCCGTCTGTCTGTCTGTCTGTTTCTACGCGAACTAGTCTCTCAGTTTTAAAGCTATCGACTTGAAACTTTGCTCACACCCTTCTTTCCTTTGCACGCAGTATATAAGTCGGAACGACCGGAATCGGCCGACTATATCCTATAGCTGCCATATAACTGATTGATCGGAAATGGTATAACTTTGGTGTTTTAAGAGCTAAGAGAGTTCATAGCTGCCATATAACTGAACGATCGGAAATGACCCAACTTTCGTGTTTTTGAAGATAGAAAGCTGGAATTTAATACAGATTCTATTTTTGGTCAGTTGATCCAACTTACCAAATTTTATAAGGATCGGCCGACTATATCCTATAGCTGCCATATAACTGAACGATCGGAAATGACCCAACTTTCGTGTTTTTGAAGATAGAAAGCTGGAACTTGGTACAGATTCTATTCTATATTCCGGTTTTAACTGCAAGGGTATATCAACTTCGGCTCCGCCCGAAGTTAGCTTTCCTTTCTTGTTTTGAGTTGACATGGTCAATAGATTTAAGACTTAAAAAAAAAATTGGCGTGGCACCGCCCTCTATTTAAGAAACACATTCTAACTAAAAAACTAAGCAAGATATTTGTAATTGTATTACAATTGTAAAAGTTGTAAGCTCATGTAAATGTTGTAACTTAACTTGTCGTGCTGTGGAACCCTTGGGACTTTGTTTTAGCTTTTTTTTAATAAATTGGTTATATTACCCCGGCAAGGGTATATTATGATATTCCGATATCCGATGTTTCCGGTTTTAACTGGAAGGGTATATCAATTTCGGCTCTGCCCGAAGTTAGCTTTTCTTTCTTGTTATTGTAACTAATCGGTTTTGTCAAGATATTCTCATAAGGATCGGCCAACTTTATACGAAGTATACGATATATGTATATCCGATTTTAACTGCAAGGGTATATCAACTTCGGCTCCGCACGAAGTTAGTTTTTCTTTCTTGTTTTTAAAATGATATACATAGATGTGATATAAGTTATATTTTATAATCCGCCTAAATGTTTGTATTTCATAATTTTAATCATTCAATCATTGTTGCGCTGTTTTTACTGTTTTACTGTACTTTAGATATTCTGCATGCAACAGTAATTGATCAGTAGTAATCATTTGTCTGATCAACATAATCATTTTATATTCTGTAACATTTTATATCAAATAATTTATATATATTCTATTTTATATGCAATATCCTGTTCATTGTTTTATAAAGTATTTAAAAGAGTAATAATTTCTCGGGCAAGGGTATGGGAACTGTTTCGTAATATACAAGCGAACATTGATTTATTTATTTAAATGTTTTCACAGGTTTTAATTAGTGTAGCGGAATGTCTCCAGTAATACATATACTCCCTAAACAAGAAAGATTTAGTCCGAGATTAAATGAATTAAATTTTGAAGCATGACGGTGAGAATTAACAATAAAATGTATTTATATATTTAAGCTGAATTTATTTTCAGGAATATGCAATGCATAATAATAAAAACGGTGCCTTATCCTCTGACACCGACCGACCAACATACAGTCACATTTCTTGCGGGACGAATTTCAGTAGAGAAAACTTTAAGGATTTGTGGGAATATAAAGAGAGGGATGAGAAATGTGGTCGTGAAATAAATAGATCACTTAATTCTGTACCTATTATAGATAATCATAGTTATTCATATAACTATTTGGACTGCTATAAAGGGGAAGATCCCCACGATGTTACGGTGGACGACTGGGATGGTGTGGAGAGCTGGGACAGTACTACTGTTGTCGCAGTTGAATACAGTTTTGAATATTCAAACCCAAGATGTACCTCCTCCAAATTATTGCCTATGTTACCAGTTAAGCAAAACATTTCTAGAAAACCGCAACTAAGTTCTGAAATGGACTTAAAAATACAAGGTATGTGCATAAAAAGAGAAAAACGCAATGGTGTCTGCATGGCTAAAACGAATAAAGCTGTAAATTTACATGGTAGTAAATGTAATGAAAATCAAGATTTTGAGTATTCATCGAATTTCTTAAAAAATAGAGGCGTAGCGGCACCATCGCGGGCATTGCAGCAAAAGTGCGTATACTCACACCAAGGTTTATTTGGATTTACCACAGATCCCGAAGATACAAGAGATCTACTGAAAAGCAACCGAAGCACAGACCAACTCGGCGGGGTTAGTGTAGGGTCCGGTACATGCGCTTGGAGGCAAACAATGAGACCATATACCTCCATGTTGCCTTTAGATTATAATGATTACCAAGCATGCTCCTATAACGCAGATAGTCTCTCAACCTATAGTGATACCTCATCGACTAATCATGATCAATTAAAACTACAACAGCAGAGAAAAATCTCTTTAATGATGGCGATGACAACAGCTTCTGTGATAGCATCCGGTGAGACTAGAATACCGGTTGAATCTAAGCATACTAAAAAACCAACTCACAACCACACAGACTTTCTTCTAGACAATAGCAACTTCAGCCAAAAAGGAATTTCGGAAAGGTTGCTTGAGCCAGACATCTACAGCAGGGGATCTCATCCGCAAAGTGATGTTGAAGCAGTCGAATACACTATTACAGTCGCAGATTCGACGAATCCAAAGACTAGAAAATTGCCAAAACTTTTACCAGCACCACAGTATAAATCACCACTTCATACACCCGTTTCTACTGTTAAAAAAATGGATGCTTTAAATTCAACATTATACTCGTCTTGTCCGATAACAGAGAATATCCACCGCGCCAAGCAGCTACCAAAGTTGCCAATTTCTATAAACCAAACCATATCTCACTCAATATCATTAACTTCTCCCATAAATTCTGTTAAAGTGGCTGGTACAGAAACGGAACCATTATTGGTGTCCTTAAAAAATTGTAGCATAGAAAATAATCCTCTGATTTGTCATGACTCAAAAGAATCAAAAAATATGGTTAATTTACAATGGATTAATGAGGAACGAATTCCATCACCACTAACATTAGAATTAAGCCAATCAGTTGAAAGCTTATTTAAAATTAAAAACCCTTCCTCACCAACATGCAATTCCCTAAAAGGAGAAGCTAAAAATGTAGTTATAGACCTCGATTTGCAAGAAACGTATCTAAGAAGTCAATCTATTCTAGAACCTAAAAAAACGCCCAATACTGAGCCTGAAGAAGTCTTCGACAATATTACTGAATATTTGAAGCCTTATATTTTAGACACAAGTTTTTCATTAGAACAACAATTTCATGACGACACTATTACTAGTAATATCGAATACAATTACCCGAAAGGTCGAAACAATTCAGTCGAAGGTATTCTTAGAAATTCTGAGGAGGCTACTGCTTACGTCAATTACGATTTTCCTGAGAGTTTTCCGGAGAATATAGTTTCTACATCAACAAGCTTGTGCTTAACTCAAAATGAGCCAGTTCATCAACTAATGGTCTGTACTTCAATAGATGGGGTTTCTTCTGATAGTAATAAAGCCCAAATTAATCCGATTGTAATGCAATTCCCCATAAGATCTCCGCACGACATAAGTGTATCTACGGTTTGTAATAGCAATCAGAACGCGTTTACAAATAATGCCTCAGCCATGGCAGAAGTTGCTAGCCGAGATGTTTCGCCATCTCCTTCCACACTTACGTTAACATCACCATCTTCAGTAGCTCCAATATTATCTTACAGTGAATATATGAAACAATTTGAATTACCAGATTTGCCTCAACCTATCATTCCACTATCATCGCCTGTTGATAAGAGTGACTCGGGACCTACATCAAGCGTTGGTACTTCAACAAAGGTTTATAGTATGCCTGATTGTAACCTGAGTGAATTACCAACAACACCATGTAAGGAAAATGTATCAACTAATCACATTAAAGATTTTCGAACGCCAAGCCAAGAGCCCCAAGTCAACAATTACAAAGAGGATCCACCGAATAGTGTATCACTTATACCAAATACCACCATTGAATGTTCAGTAGAGCCGAAAACAAGCACTATTCCCATGACAGACAGGGATGTGATTCTGTCACAAACTTTATCATTCGACGACTCGTTTTACGACAGTTTTAATGTCGATCTTAAAAAACTGACGGCATCCATTGCCGATACGAATATCGAAACCGGTTTATTTAAAAATACTCACTTGACTGAGGATTGTAGTATAGATTTTTATTCGAGAGAACCTAATGAATTTAGTATTGAGCCAAGGGACTTAAATCAGAACCTCCAAACTCGATTCCATGAAGATATTCCGCCACAGTCAAATATTTCGACGTTTTCAAATGATCCCATTCAACAAGCAAATATAGCCGTTACATCTACGGCACAAAATGTATTGGGTGAATTTTCAAAAGGTTTTAAAGGTGGTTCAGATGGAGTATTAAACAGTGACGCTTTAACTGTAGATGTTACAGCACAGGTGAACAGTAAAAAAGTTTTTGGTTTCAACTTATCATCAAAACTAATTCCCACTGTTAACGAGTTACTCTACAATTCCAACCCAAGCGAAAATAAGCAATCAGCTTCAGTGCCAAAATTTACAGAAACTGAAATAATTTTGAACCCTACTTCTAATTTTATGGATTCCAATGTATCACCTATTTCTTATGATCATAAAGAGCATAATTTTTATTTAACAGAAGTTCCGAATTTTCCTGTAGAGAATAAAGTTTATAACAATGAGACAATGTCGACAAATTCCACTATTGAAAAACAGAAAGACAGCATCGATGAAAGCTGCAATGCTATGACTTTGAGTAGGAAAGCGATTCAGCAAAATCAACAAAAGCTAGTATATCGTACAGATGTAAAACAAAATGAAATAGTTACAGACTATGATATTTCTTATATAGAAAATGATAATGAGTATGATTTGATACAACCAAAAGCTACAAATTCACATATTAAACATCAGATAACGAAAAAAAATAACACGACAGGTAGCATGTTTGGATCTATTTTTGGAAAAGCAGCTGCAGCTGTTCAAACAGCTACCCAAGTGGTGAATCAAAGTGCATCCTCCGTAGCTTTAGCTATGACACAGAAACAATCCTTAAACACATTAAGTGTAATTGAATCACCAAATGTAGTTGAGCCCTCAAACTTGACAAGCTCAAATAAATTAAATGCAATGAATTTTGAATATAATGAATATTCCATGAGCAATGATGTTGCTATTGTTACCGATTTTACAAATAATGGGAATAATTATGAGAATATTAATGTTCAATACGCTTCAGATTTAGATAAAAAATCACTGTCCTATTTAGGTACCAATGGTAATCAGACCCAGCTCGGCTCGGCTATTTCTGGGAAATTAAATGAAATTGGAAATGCTTCGAAATTATTACCTAAGGTGCCTTTACCATCCATCAGTAAAAAACTTCCAATAATTAATGGTAAGTTGGGGTTGCTCACAAAGCAACTGCCAACTGAGATATACGAAGACGAATTAGATATCGATGAAATAGAATTAAATACAATAGGAAAAGACACGAGGTTTTGCATGGAGAGTGAGCATGATAATTACTCCATGAAACTTCGGCAGACCCCCTCCCATCAATCGAACAGTTATTATGAACCCAATAATAGCAGTTATGACTATCGAGAGGATTATTTTAATGAGGAGGATGAAAATAAATATCTCGAGCAACAAGACCAGAAGAAAAAAGAACCATTTCATGTTCAGCAGATGGATCAGTCTGAAAGTGTTTTTTTAAGTGAGCAACCATCATCAGCATCAGAATTTATTACTGAAGAACGAGATACTGAATTAATATACGAGAATTATCAAAGTGAAGAAGAAAGTTTAACTTATTTAGATGAAAGTTCTAGTGGTAGTGTTGAGCCCATTGAAGGTAAAAAAATGTTAAAAAGGACGCTTGGAGATCAGAAGGATTCGAATGGAGAAACTTCGACAATTAATAGAAATATTTCTCTACAAATATTGCCATCGTTTCAACAAGTTCAAGACAATGAAATAATTTTTGATGATTCAAAGTTAAATCGAAGCCAAGAACAAATTTGCATGGACTCATTTGAAAAATTTGAAGAACTAAATGATCAGCTTTCCGATCTTTCTGATTTAAGAAAAATTACTTCAACCCGAAAAAAACCTCTTATACGGGGTGAAACCGAAGAAGTTGTTGGTGGACATATGCAAATTATACGCCATTCTGAAGTTACTGCTAAACAACGATGGCATTGGGCTTTGAATAAAGTCATATTACAACTTAACGTGAGTAAAAATGTATTATTTAAGCCAAAACATCTTTTTATATTCAAAATAAAAAACATTTTAAATTCCAAAGTTATAGGTAATATCACTCTATTACTTAGGCGTAGGAATTTTTAAAATCGAATATTCATTTCACACATAATTGTATTTGCTCCTATATAGATATATGTAGATCGAGATATTTATATTTTTGATATAAATTTTGGTGAAGAAAATATTCAATAAAGGTAGACAAAATTGGCCCTTACAAAATATTCAAACGTATGCCGAATATGAAAAATAATTTTTTTTCGGCCCAAAAAACGCGTTAACATTAAAGTGCTTCCAAAACAAAAATAAAAAAAAGAAAATGAATATATAAAAAATCCCTCTGCGTTAGCTGTTCAGTCGATTACACAGGTCGACAATTTCTGTTTTTTTTTCTTCCACGCATAATTTTACCTGCTCTACATATAACCTTTAGGATGCCCTGAATCAAAGTCCAGATCAAATTTAGGTTCCATTACCCAAAGTTTCCTAAGTCAAGTTACCTAAGACAAAAACTTGATCAAATTTTGCCATGAATTGAATCTACGTAGACCGTGTAATTGCGTTGATCATCATTGTTTTTATTGGAACCATTGGAATAATGGCCATTCCATTGTGAGCAATTTGAACAGTTAAAATTAGCCATTGGAACAGTTTGGCATCAAATCATAATTTTACACAAATGTGGTCTGCGCGGATATCATTGTTCCGATAGTAATCCGAACAAATAGAAATAATTCGATAGCTCTATCTCTTATAGTTTTCGATATCCACGCATTCAAAATTTTAGTCCGTTTGTATGGGAAAGTGTATATATATTTGGATTTTTGGATGATGTTTTTCAAGGAACCCTATAGCTCTATCTCTTATTTTTTTTTTTTTTTTTTTTTTCGCGGTCTTTCAGAATTTGGAAATGGCTTGTGCATCAAAAAGAGCATCAGCTAGCATTCCTGTATTCATCATAAAGCTTAGAGGCCCAGACGACCGAGGGGCGCTCAAGAAACGATTTGTTAGAGTATATTAAGTTATTTGTTAATTATTAAGCTAAGAGGAGTTAGTAAGGAAATTTAAAATTCTATATTTTAAATTAGAGGGACAGGAAAGAGATGTAATAGAGTAGAGACCATTGTAGTTCGAACATAATACCCTAAAAGGGTCATGCAGTGCATATGTCGAACTACAACGGCTAAGGAACAGAGGACTAAAGTTTCGAGTCCTTCTATTAGGAATGTTGAAATTTAAGCGTGTTAGTAAATGCTGGCTATCTACATCCCCGTTGATAAGGTTATGCAGAAAAACTACACCGAGCATTGTCCTACGATTTGTTAAGCTAGGTAAGTTAATAAGTAAAAGTCTGCTACTGTAGGATGGAAGCTGAAGATTTGCATCCCAGTATAGACCTCTAAGTGCAAATATTAAAAAGTTCTTTTGTACGGATTCTATGCGGTCCTGATATACTCCATATTGGGGACTCCAGACACATGAACCGTACTCCAGTATAGGACGGACCAAAGAAATGAATAGTGTTTTGGTTATATAGGGGTCATTAAATTCTTTTGACCACCTTTTGATAAAACCAAGGACTCCTTTAGCCTTATTAACCATTAAGGAAATATGGTCGGCAAATTTAAGTTTTATGTCTAATAGGATGCCGAGATCATTAACCTGGGTTAATTTTTCCAAGGCAATTCCATTAATGGAATACGTAGCTTGGAGAGGGCAAGAACGATAAAAAGACATATGTTTGCATTTAGATCCATTAAATATTAGATCATTAGCTAAACACCATTTTTGAAAGTTATCAAGGTCAGACTGAAGACTGCATTGGGCAGAGATGGATTTGTACTGAAGACAAAGCTTTACAACATCTGCATACATAAGAACTAGAGAGTTCGTTAAAGCAGGGGGCAAGTCGTTTATAAAAGCGTAAATAATAACGGGCCAAGATGACTTCCTTGAGGGACGCCGGATGTAGCACGGACCAGACGGGACTGACTGTTTTTAAATAAAACTCTTTGTGTCCTTCCATCTAGGTAGCTAGAGATCCACGTTAAGAGGTCTTTAGGAAAACCCAGCATATTCAGTTTACTCAACAAGAGTGAGTGATTAACTGAATCAAATGCTTTGCTGAAGTCTGTGTAAATTACATCGGTTTGATATCCCTTACAAAAGCCATCTATGACAAAGGATGTCAACTCCAATAAGTTTGTGGTGGTGGAGCGACGCTTAATAAAGCCATGCTGACAAGGAGTGATGATCGAAGAGCAAAGGTGTTGCAAATGAGGGGTAATTAATTTTTCAAATAACTTTGGAATTCCCGACAACTTAGAGATGCCTCTGTAGTTGGCAGCCTCGGACTTTTTCCCCTTTTTATGTAGGGGAATTATAAATGATTCCTTCCACTTAAGGGGAAAAATCGAGGTTTCCAAAGATAAGTTTAAAAGTCTTTGAAGAGGTTTGCACAGAGCCCTGGCGCAGTATTTTAGCACACAGCCTGGTACTCCGTCGGGGCCTGGCGAATAAATGGGTTTTACCCTTAAAAGACCAGATAATAAGTTGTTCTCAGAAAAAGACGGACAGAAAATAAGATTTGCTGCTTGAATGTTATATGCATAAGGCTGATCAGTCAATTTAGGAGGAGAATAAGTTGTTTGAAAAAATTCTGCGAATAGATCGGCAATGGCCTGATCCGAAGTCGCAGAGGAATTTTCAAACATAAGCAGAGGTGAAAAAGATACGTGTTTACGCTTAGTGTTTACAAAATTATAAAACTGTTTTGGATCCTGAGTAAATTGAATCCGGCAGCGGTCAATATAATTCCTATAACATTCAGCGTTATGCACGGTAAAATTCGACCGAGCTAGTAGGTATCTTGAGAAATCAACACTACTGCAGGTTTTTTTATATTTAAGTAAAAGCTTATATTTTTTATTTTTTAGGTTAGTGAGGGACCTTGTATACCAAGGAGGATTTGTTGAAGCGGACGGATGTTTCCAAGGCACACATGAGTCAAAAAATGTATTTAAAGTAAAATAAAATTTTTCTAAAGTGACATTAAGAACAGTGCATGCCAGAATATCAGACCAGTCAAATGTATCGATAAGGCTATTAAGTTTTTGAAAAAGTATAGTTGAAAAGTTATAGTTATAGTTTCTGAGATCCACGCGTTCATACGGACGAACGGACACACGGACATGGCAAACCGACTCGGCTGCTGATGCTGATCAAGATTATATAATATATATGTACTTCATAGGGTCGGAGATGATTCCTTCTCTATGTTACATACATTCACGACTAAAAATGCATGCCTGCATACATGCAAAAATGCATGCACGACTGCATCTAGCAGTTACCATATAATTATACCCTTGCAGAGGGTATTATAATTTTGTCCAAAAGTGTGCAACGCAGTGAAGGAGACATCTCCGACCCTATAAAGTATATATATTCTTGATCAGGATCACCTCCTGAGTTGATATGAGCATGTCCGTCTGTCCGTCTGTCCGTCTGTCCGTCTGTCTGTCTGTCTGTCTGTCCGTTTCTACGCGAACTAGTCTCTCAGTTTTGAAGCTATCGTCTTGAAACTTTGCACACACCCTTCTTTTCTTTGCACGCAGTATATAAGTCGGAACGGCCCGGATCGGCCGACTATATCCTATAGCTGCCATATAACTGATTGATCGGAAATGGTATAACTTTGGTGTTTTTAGAGTTAGAGAGTTCAAATTTGACATGAGAGCTATTTTTGGCAAATTATTGTGACATGCCAAATTTCATAAGGATCGGCCGACTATATCTTATAGCTGCCATATAACTGAACGATCGGAAATGACCTAACTTTCGTGTTTTTGAAGATAGAAAGCTGAAACTTAATACAGATTCTATTATTGGCCAGTTGATCCGACCTACCAAATTTCATTAGGATCGGTCGACTATATCCTATAGCTGCCATATAACTGAACGATCGGAAATGGTACTTGGAACTTTCGTATTTTTGAAGATAGAAGTTTGGGACTTATTTTAGATTTTGTATTTTAGTAAATTGGTTTTATTATGATGTAATCATAAGGATCTGCCAACTATATCCGATGTTTGCGATATATATCCGGTTTTAACTGCAAGGGTATATAAACTTCGGCTCCGCCCGAAGTTAGCTTTCCTTTCTTGTTAAAGTACTCATCCAAAGGTTTAAGATTATTTTTGTGCTTCTAGAATTTTTTGCTATTGATTAAGATACTTATCTTTATAAATATTTTGTTACTAAATTGTGAACGGGTTTCATGTAGCCACGACATACGTGTGGCCTCCACGGCACTACAGGAAATTTTTCCACTTTTTCTGGCCAAAATTAATATCCCAGAAACGAAACAAGATATTTCCATTTGGTTTTTTTTAGTGTTTTAAAAAAATATAGTTTTTTTTTTTGAAAAAGTTGGCGCGGTATTTTAGCCTTGCAGAGGGTATTATAATTTTGGTCAAAAGTGTGCAGTGAAGGAGACATCTCCGACCCTATTAAGTATACATTAAGTATACTTAATATACACTTTTATAATATAAGTGTATATTAAGTATACATTACAAAAGAAGATTATAAAGGCACTATATAAAACAGAGGTTCCCAAGCTCTTTATACGGCAGAGCAAACTCCCTCACCAATGCAAAAAATCAAAAATACATTGGTGCAAGAGATTTTGTTGCACTTTATGTCGGTACCGTGAAAAAAAGAATTATAGTAACATTCACAAGGGGTTTGAAATAAATATTATAATGGTAATAAAAAAATACATTTGAAATACATATTTAGTAATTGAAAAAGAACCCTACATTTTTTACACCAGTCTATTATTTCACTATGACAAATAATGCAGAGCATGTTGCTTAAAAAATGTTCTGTGTAAGAGAAATTCATCGCGATTCTAAATTCAAGTCGACCTATATCGCAGCTACAGGATATAGTCGACCGATCCCGG